CCATCTGTCTATTAGAGTGTGTCCTTCTTTTCACTAGTTTTCTTTTAACACTTCTATAACAATATCAAGGGATTTCTTCTTTTTTCCTTTTATTTGTACCCCTGTGTGTATTTTCCTTTTAATATCTTTTGTTTTCTCATTCAATTAACACCTTAAAGTAGGGCCTGAGTTATCTATTTCTTATCCAACACAATCACAGTGTCTTGACAGGTTTCCCTCACTTATGAAGGGACTTGCCCCTCAAAAGTCATATCTAGCAGATGAGACACAGTATGTCAAATTAATGTCAAAAAAGCAGTGCTTCCTAATTTTCTAATTTAAACCAATTTGGACTTGATAATTTTAATAAAGCCAATCACTTTATTAAACAAATTGCAATCAATGTCATTCTCAAATCTTTGTTGTGTTGTTCTGAATATACTATTGACCTAAAAATTTCCAGGGGTGCGATTCTCTGGCACAATAAATTAAATAAACAGCTTTTAAATATATCTTCCTTTGACTCTTCTGTGTCTTGATATATATATGGAGTCACATCCACAGGAAAAAAAAAAAAAAAAAAAGAGGAAAAAACCAACCAGAGTATTAATCTAGACTCTTTGTCCTTGTTCAGAGAGAAGAAATGGCTGGTCATGACTAATGTTATAGAACCTGTTCTCAAACAGAAGTAGCCAAATCATTGCAAACATGTGTTGGGTGAAAACAAGTTTGGTTGGCTCCAGACAAAGGCTTATTTTTTCAGCACAGATGGCTGAATGGTTGCCTCCTCCAAAGGGTTGCCCGCAAATGAAAGACAGATTTCTATTTCTAATCTATGCAAATATCTTACTCTGCAGGGCATCACAAAGACTAACTGTTTTGTGTCAGACACTGTAGATCCCAGGTGCTCTGAGAGATGCCAAAGCCCATCTCCACCTGAGATGCCTGGTAACTGGGATAACAGCGGATGACTGGAGAGTTAGTCATTAACCCGCTCCTAATGAATGCTGTTGGGGCCTTCTGTGAAACATTCCTCTGGAATCCTGCCCCACCACCACTGCTTCCCCTTGGCTGAGCTGCCTGGAAGGCAGTTTCAATATTCAGTTCGGACCTCAGATGCTGCTAAAACCTCCCAAGAAGGCTGAGATTCCCAAAGGCTCTTAAGGACTGTAGCATTTTTCACCTCGTGTTCAGCTCATCTGTCCATCTCCAGCACTACATAGAGAAAACTCAAGCATTTAAAAATATTATTCTGTCCAAACCAGATCTCCTTTATTCTCTAGTCCATAAGCCTACAACCCATGGCATGTCTTGCTGAATCACACCTGATTGTTGTCAGTGGCCCTCAACCTTCCCAAATAGATGTAATTCCTTTTTTTCTTTTCTTCCTAACAACTTTTCTTTTATTTCTTACATTTTTTTTCTCATGTTCCTCCATATTCCCAACTGAAATCTGTTACTCACTCTGACACCCCTTGGCACATTCCAGTTTTAGGGCCCCTTGGAGGCAACAAAAATTTCTGTAATGCTGCAAACATATACACACACTCACGCATAGACAAAATGCTGCATGCTAATCCAACTCCTAACTTTCAGCATTCTTTGCCATAAAGAGTTGGTTAGACCTGAAATCTATATAATCTAGTTCCAGTGCTTAAATCTAAAAATATCTTTCAAAGTTTAAAATTTTTTGTTAGTTTTTCTGATCAAATGTCAGCAGCACAGTTTGCTTCAAAATCCTGTGTTGGAAAACACTTCTTTTCCTCCTTATTAACCTTCATCTGAAATAAACCAGGCTAACTAAGCAAAAAGAAATTCTAAAGGAAAAAGAAAAGTCCTTCCTAAATCCCACACTTAATAACCACCACTACCAAAACTTTTTACTCTCTACGTCCCTCTTTGAAATTTAAATACCTTTTGTTTTAGTCTATGAATGCAAATATTGACAGTCAAACAATGCAGCATTAAGTTTATTTCCCTGGAAAATCTAAAACTGTAAAGAGTTTTAGAGGTTAACTGATTCATTGATTCCTGAGGCTGGGTGAGTGTCACAAACACCGGAGGATACTATTCATTTTAAACAATAACATCCTCTTGATATTCAGCCCTAGATATTACAACCAGACTTCTGGTACGGCTCTAGAATCATATTTATAATAAGTGCTCCAGGTAACTATGATATAGCAGGCCCTGGTCTTTTGAGAACCACTGATCTATTCCAACATCCTACCCAATATGGTGGTTCCCTCTACAGGATACCACATAGGCTACCTAGTCCACACAACAACTTTCACCGAGACCAGTGCTCTCACCCTTTTGTAAGTCTTGTTCCCTTTTTAGATGGCTTAGTTATTAGAAACTGTATTTCTACATTGAGCCAAACAGTCAAAGTTCTTTGGCTCCTTGGACTTCACTTACTTAGACCCTAATTTCGTGCTCCAGAGCTGACAAAGAATTCGCCATCCTACAAGAGTCTGTGAATATCTAAAGGCAGCTACTACTGTGCCCTTGTAAGACTTAATTTTTCTAAGCTTAAACAACCTTTCTCTTTTAACTTCATAAAGCATAATTTCTGAGTCCCTCTATTTCAACTGCTCTTTCTCACCAATAGGCCTTACAGGATAGGTCTGTCAAGACTAATAATACTTCACTTTTCTTACAGATGGAACTTTTTTCAATATGCACTAATTTCCAGTCCATGTTTCATCCTCATCACTCATTATCTTGCACTTAATGGCCAAGAGCCAAGAATCAGCAAGTATTTATTAACTTAATGCTGTGTTCCTAGCACCGTGTAAAGTACTCAAGGAGGATGCAAAAGCCAATGGAAATCATCACATTTTGAGGAGTTAATAATTTCTTGTACAGGAAGAACTTAGATATGTGAATTAACTTGAAAACAGGGAACAATGGTATGCAACAAACAGAGTGCTTTAAATGTCTATCACATGAAAGACTGAACACTAGGTTTTTTGGATCAGGCTGTAAGCTAACTCATGGCCTCTGTTTGCAATTACGCCATGTATTTACAAAAGCTTTTGATTTTTCTTTTTAAAAAGGAAAGCAAGTGAAAAAAAGAAGACACAAGGTGGCTCATGCCTGTCATCCCAGCACTTTGGGAGGCCAAGGTAGAAGGATCACCTGAGGCCAGGAGTTCAAGCCAGCCTGGGAAATACAGCGAGACTTCATCTCTACGAAATTAGAAAAAAATTGAGCCAGGCTTGGTGGCACATGCCTGTAGTCCCAGCTACTCAGGAGGCTGAGGCAGGCAGATTGCGGGGGCCTGGGAGTTTGTGGCTGCAGTGAACCATGATTGGGCCACTGCACTCCAGTATGGGTGACAGAGCAAGACACTGTCTCAAAATAAATAAGTAAATAAAAACAAATAAGCCAAATTAAAGAAAGAAAGCAGAGGCCAGGCGCAATGGCTCACGCCTGCCATCCCAGCACTTTGGGAGGCCAAGGTGGGCAGATCATTTGAGGTCAGGAGTTCAAGACCACCCTGGTCAACATGGTGAAACCCTATCTCTACTATAAATACAAAAATTAGCCAGGTGTGGTGGCAAGCGCCTATAATCCCAGTCACTCGGGAGCCTGAGGCATGAGAATCGCTTGAACCTGGGAGGTGGAGGCTGCAGTAAGCCAAGATCACGCCACTGCACTTCAGCCTAGGTGACAGAGCAAGACTCTGTCTCAAATTTAAAAAAAAAAAAAAAAAGCAGGATATTGCCTTAAAATATACTTAAAATTTTCAAGTGCATCCTCATATCAGAAATTTAAATTCTAAAAAATACACAAAAATCAGGTAGAATACTCTTCCTTCTTCAAAGCATGTCCCCGCATTGCTTCCCAAGCATTCAGAATGACAAGGTCCAGGTAAAAGGCAAAAAGCAAAGGGTTTATGTGATTCCTTTTCCTACAAGAAATACCCATTTGATGAGGAGACTTCCCAGGTATTTTAATGGAAAACTCTTACCAATAAATCAACTATACTAACACACAAAAAAATGCACTTATTCCACTCACTGAACATGCTTTATCACTTACACAAATCCCTCACTTTACAGATGAGAGGGGAAAACATCATTTCAAAGGCAGCACGCGATTTCTCCAAGCTAAAGCAGACACTGAGTAGCTGGGTGGGAACAATACCTGGTTCTCCCCTCTACTGCTGGCTTCTTGTCTCCTCCTATTTAGTAGGGACAACCATCAAAACTCTTGCTCTCGCAACATTTTCCTCCTTAACATTACTCCCACTTTCAGTTACCTTTCCAATCTTCAAATTCGAAGTCTCATACTACATTTTGTTTTGGGATACTTTTAGGAAAAGGGTGGACAAAACAGAATTCTTTTTTTTTTTCCTTTTCTTTTTTTTTCTTTTCTTTTTTTTTTGTGAGACAGGGTCTCACTCTGTTGCCCAGGCTGGAGTACAGTGGCATGATCACGGTTCACTGCAGCCTTGAACTTTTGGGCTCAAGTGATCTTCCAACCTCAGTGTCCTGAGGAGCTGGAACCAAAAGCACAAGACACCATGCCCAGCTAATTTTTATATTTTTTTCTTTTTGTAGAGACAGGGTCTCACTATGCTGCCCAGGCTGGTCTCGAACTCTTGGCCTCAAGCTGTGCTCCCACCTCAGCTTCCCAAAGTGTTGAGATTACAGGCATGAGCCACCACGCCTGGCCAGGTGATTACCTTTTTATTAAATTCTTGCATGCCTATTTTACTCACAGTCTCCAATGAGTATTTCCATGCTGTTAAGAGACGAAATTCTGCCTGGCTTAGGATCCCTACTGCCTTACCAGCATTACAGAAAACAGCTGGAGTTAGCTACATGGATTCAACCAAAACTCTAAAGCTGCAAGGCAATGAGTAAACAACCCCCAACTATTTTAACCTCTCCCCCACCACACACCCGCACCCACACCCACACACCCCTAAATCAACCAGCTCATCTACTTCATTGGAAGCTTCACAGTTAGTCAACACCCTTATATGGCACACAGGGGGAAAATGCACCTACCTTGTGGCCTCTTGCTGAAGCCATGACACATTTGGCACATAAAACATGACTCCAAAGAAAAGCAGAGGCTCATTAGCGAATTTGTCCAGATGTTTCTTCAGAGGTTTTTCCAGCTCCACCCATCGTGCTTGCTGGCTCTTGCTGAGAAACCAAAGGCCAAAGTAGTGTGTCTAGATAAAAGGGTAAAACAGCATCAGTTCATGCTCACCACAAGCATCCCAAGACCACACACGAAACGAGACTCCAGCATGCTGCATCCCACCTTGGGTTCCCCAGCCCCTATACAAGATCCAGCTTTGACATCTGACTTTGGGACAAATTTAAAAAGACCACAACCACACACTACTGTAACGTACATGGAGTATCCAGATGCATTATCCCTACTCATTACTACTGTTTGTGCTTGTCGATACCAATGGGCCCATGTGAGGTAAAGGAGAGTCACGCAGGGAAGGGACAGTGCTGACTTTTCCCCTGATATCTGAAGACTGCCTTTTCTGTGTGCCTTCTGCATGCTTCATGATCTCACATGGAGCACACTGGCAAAGACCAACATCGCTCTTGCACCTGCTGCAACGTAACTTATTACTCAGTTCCTAAGACAAAACCGCCTGCCAACTGAAAGCTTCTGCACTGTAGAATATTTTCATACAGTACCAGATTTTAACCGAGAATTTATTCACTCTTTTCGTGTGCTTTAAAAAGTATCATCCTCTTCCACTTTATTATACACGAACTGCAGCAAATCTCTCCCCATATCAAGCTTTGAGAGAGGAAGGATCGCCTCTTCACAGCTGCCGCAGGAGCCCCTGGTGGCTGCTCTTGGCAGATTATGGTGGGATTTGTTAGATGAAAGTGAGATTTTCACCCTTAGACTTGAAGCCTAAACCAGTTTGGTTTTGAACAACATGCTAAATGATTAAAACAGGTACTTTTATGCACCCAATCCCATCTTTTATATTAATTCATGCTAGGATTTCAGGATTAGCACAACAATCACCAAAAAATAGATCACTGCTTTTGAAGATTCTTTTATATTTCAATTATAGCCTAGAATGGTTTACAGCACACCTGGAAACCTGCCTTCAAAAGAATGTTTTCATTACAGTGTTTAATTTCCAAAGGCATTCTCATGCCGATGTTCCCACTCCAGCTGGCTGCCACCTCAGCATTACCACAGATCAATCCTGCCACAGCTCCACCAAAATTTCTCATGAAGTTTTGACTCTGACTTTACCAGAAAACCAGACGTGCCTTTGCCTACATAAAGCTGCAGACCCAGATGCTTTAAAGATATTTTAAATGGATTTACTTTGAGATGGGGGTAATGATTTGATCAGCTGTCCCCCACGATGTTCCAAAGGACAAGTTCACATCAGAAATCTATGCATTTCTTGAGCAACAAAATGTCAACAACCAGAGCCAAGGTTATATTTCCATCAACTGAGACAAACTTACTTGGATGAATTCTGACCCTATTATTCATTTCCTAGCTCCAGTGAGTCCATTAGCTGTTCCAACCTGAGTGATAAGATAGAGGAAATGAAATGTGGCTGAACAGAAAGAAAACAGACTTCGAAGTCAGCCCATCTCCCACCTTTTGCACTGTCTCAGTAACTTTACACAAGTCATTGAAATGCCTTCTAGACTCTCACAGTTTTCTCCTCTGTAAAATGGGGATGATGGTTACAACTTTCACCCACAGGCTCTGAGAAGTATAAATGAGATAATGCCTGTCGATTACCTGCATGGCACTCAGTAAGTAACTAATTCACAAGTGGTACCTTCCATTGCTGCTGCGGCTGCAGGACTACTACCCCTGTTACCACCATCCGCACCACTGCCACCGCCATCATCATCAGTAAATGAAAGCTGGTAAACCTCATGAATCTTTTTCATCAGCACTACTGACATCTCCGTGAACCACAGAATTAGGAAACAGAGGTTATCTGGGAGTCAATGAGAAAAAGCAGGCAAAGGTAGAAGCAGGAACATCTATGAATAACGTAAATATTTAAAAGATGTAAGGAAATAAAAATCACAAAGCTATACCTCCACTAAGACTTTGAGGCTCTCATGATAGGTGGTAATGGGACACTGGAACATCACTCTGACGCTATCCTCTGAGATCTATGATGCAGGCTTAAGCTACCCTAAACGTAAAGTCATTTGGGTACTCAGTTCAAGACATTTATCTGAAAAGGGTCCAAAGTAGTTCTGCATTATACTGAATTCCTGTACGGAATACAGGGCTGTATGAGGGTATTCCATGGCATTTTGGATGCCTAGGAGTGAGTCTCCATACAATAAATTAGGTAATATGTGTAATTAACATGATATACAGCAATTATTAAAGCTGGAAAAGAGCCCTTTTTATAGCATGAGTGGAGAAACAGGGCAAGCTTCACAATTGCTTAACAGGCTAACTATGATTTATCATCTTTCACTAAAAGCAGTTGTGACATTTGGGAGATATTTTTATAGTCCACACTTCATTCAAATTAGTAATATTCAAATTATAGAGGGCCACAGTAACTGCCTAAATGTTATACAATCGATTTTGAAAAACGGTTAAAATTTTTATTGTGTCTATCTGTGCCTCGAAAGCTATTTTAAATTTCCTTTTCTCATTCCTATCCATCCAGATCATTAAACCAGACCTGACCTCTACCCCAGAAAACCCTCAGAGAAAGAATATTCCATGGAGTACACACACACGAACATGTATGTGCACACACACAACACACACAAAATGCACACTGCAGCTGCACATACACATACTCCTGTGCATACACACATACGGGTATGTTGAGAAGGAGGATGATGAGGTACAAGAGAAACGACAGTAAGGCAATAATCTTGAGCCAGAGCTCTAAATAACAAAGTAAACCACTTCTAATGGAAAAACCTAATTCATGGCATAAATTCATCACTGCTGTGGTACAGCACCTTTCAGAGGACACAGAATATTTCAGAGTGACTCACCAGGTAATTATCCAGTGAAATAATTACATAACTACTGAAGAAATGGGGTGTCCAGTGCAGGGCAGAACTGGGGGAGACAGGTAATCTGAAGGACAGAGTTTGTACATACTCACAGCCAGAACATCCTAACTTTAAAACTGTCAAATTTGGTCCTCTAACAAGAAGAAAAGTCCATTTCTGAGATCCCCATCCCCACCCTAACTTTTGAAGCTATGCCCAATGTAACTTTTTGCATTCCCACCCTTCTCCTCCCGTTCTTCCTCTAGCTATCTGCCCACTCTGGAGTAGAAAGACCCTGCCTCAAAAGTACAATACAGCACACGTTTATTCTCCCACATCTACAGTGCCTCACAGGAAATGGAATCAGAGCCTAGGCTCTCATTTCAACTAGCATGTGCACCAATCAACTTCCTGTGTATTATCCAAGGAACTACTAATCCTGTCAAGCCCAGCTGAGACCCCACCAGGCTGGTTCGTGGTTCACTTGCCAGTTTAAACTCTAGCTCAATTTTGAAAGCTGAGCTTAGCTGCTAAACATTGCCACATGGTTGAAGAAACCATGGTGGATGATTGCAAACAGAAACCACCTTCTCCATGACTCAAAGAGGATCCCACGATATTACCTGAGTAAATGCCTGAAATATGTGTTCTGTTTATATCTCAGGCACCAAAAGTAAGCCAGGCTCGTTTAATCCTCATGATACCTCCTCTGGGAGAGGTATGAATCCCCATTTTATTGCTCTAGTTTTCTTAAGAAAACTAGAACACACAGCTCTGGTGCCATGAGTTCTGCAATAAGTTTACTGCAATGATGAGAAAAGAAGACAGAAGAACCAGTCCTCTGGGGCAGGAACCGCACATCTCTGAACCAGTTACAAAAAATGCACTACAATGAAACCAAGTAAAGCTGCACTAAAATGTCATTTTTATGTGAGCAGCTTCCTCATTTATTTGGTTTGGGGAATTGCATTTTAACACAGGAAACATACATTTAAGTACATACTAAAAAATCGGCTAGTTTCTTCAGTGGTAGATTGGTATGTGGATACTATAGTGTCAAAATGTCCACCTTTTGGTATTATGGAAAGATTCTGAGACTGGGCCCTTAAAAGTAGTTTTGGGGACAGGGGGCATATGGGAACTCTCTATACCTTCTGCTCAATCTTGCTGTGAACCTAAAACTGCTCTAAAGAAAGAAAGTCTATTAAAAAATACTTTGGGATACTTTTGATTTGCTTGTTCATTTATTTGTATAGAGATGGTATAATCCCCCACATTCGTTATTAAATGGGAAATATTTTTTGAGGGTTTTGTTTTTCCAGTTTTGTGACCAATGGCACAGACTTTAATGCTATTTTTAAGAGGTTTAGATGCAGTCTCGGCAATTACCAAGGATTAAAGCCATGATCTTATCTCAAGCATTTTGAAGAGTTACTCATCCAGAAGCAAAAGTTTAAAGTATCTTGCATTAAGTTTTAGTAGGTTGCCTATGTTACCCAGTATTTCAGCTGTAAATTAAGAAACAGTTGGTGTACTTCCACATAAAATATATGAATTACATATCATACAAGCACGAACAGTTTCACTGAGGCATGGAAAATACTTCAAAAGATGACTATAAGCAGACTCTGAAATAGAACTTCATGCAATTACATTCCAATGGCTTTGGAAAATAAGCCACCGTACATCAGCTGGATAACGGTAGAAAAGAACTTGTGCTTAATCAACCTCTACTCTGGGTAGGTCTGAGATTTCTATAACTGACACATCTATAATTAACAACTGCACCCTCTTCATTTTCCTAGCCAATCTCTTTGTAAAAGTATAGGAAAAGAAACTGCAGAATAACACAGACCCAAGAAGAGAGTCCCATAGCCAAGAAAAACCACTCTTCTGAGACTGCACAACTCACCTAAAATACACAAAAAGATGAAGACATACAAGTTAAGACTGGCGAATAGTTCACGTACAATCTCTATACCTAGAAAATGGAGATGCCAGTGCCATTACATTCTAGGGCTGACATTAAGCTAATAACGTTTCACACTGTCATTTTTACAAGGACAAAAAGCAATACAAAACTTAAACATGAGAAATCTCCCCCAGCAGTCTACTCTTCAGTTGATTCTTAATCAGTATTGATTAGTTTAATCCTTTGCAAATACACATATATACTGATGTGATT